GCTTTGTACTAAAATAATATTTTATGTCGTTGAGAAAGTAAATTTAAAAAGTTCCAAATTATGGGAAAATTATTTATTTGAATCTAATTAAGTAATTTACTTCAATCATTAATTAAATTCTGTTATTTCAGACTGGTTATGAATTAAGTATTTTAAAATACAGATGTGAGGCTCAGAGTTGATATGGTCATCTGAAAATTTTATGTTCAATTTGACGAATACATGTACGGTGATAATTATAGAATTATTTTGACTTCTTCCTTGGAAAGTCCAATATGAATGAGTGTATATTTAGAGGCAAACACCATAGTGCGGGTATTACTGTCTCATGACAGCATCTAGTTTTAATGTTGTTTTAGTTACCAAATTATACATCTAAAATACTAGTGTTACAAAAAGATTGCGGAGATAATTCTTTCAATAGACAAAATCCAATCCTGATCATTATTTAATAGCAGTCTTCACGTAGACCTATGACGTCCCGCTCTCGTCTTTTCAGCTCGTCTTTATATAAGTGGTCTATTATCTGCTATTGCATAAACAGTCAAGTCCCTTCTACTAGAGATAATCCTGTTTCTCATAGTTATATTTGTATCTTGTCATCGTTAACATCTCTTTTCCCTATGTAAGGAGTCCTATTCCGCTCAACATAGTGTTGCTTGATAGTTTGGTGCTCCACATTACCGCTTAACGTCACCATTGTTGACGTCTAATTCAAAGCGCTTTGGCACATATCGTCATATATTTGTCATTAATGACGTCAAATAAATGAAATTTTAAACACGAGTACACCGATTTATAGAGAATTTATGTAGGTAAAATTGTTAACATTATCTTGCCGTATAGCCTGATAACAAAGAGAATTCTTTGACAATGCTATTTGTAAACTTAAAAAAAAATTGTCGTGCGCCGACCACCGATATTTAACATCCTTTAAATGCTGTTTTTATTTGCATATGACATCACAAGCCCAAAATATTTTGTCAAAATATCTAAAAGATGATTTTCCAATAACATGCAAAAAATTATCAGTTTTGGTTGAATAGTACTTGAACTATTCAAGAAGTTAGCGTTTTTCCGGTACAAACCTATATTGACGACGTATTGTAATTAACATCGGTTATTTTGATTCTTATGTCGAAAAGACATATCCCGCTGAGCTTGAGATAAAAGATATCAAAGAGTCCGACACACCTGTCTCATATTTGGATATGATACTTGAAAAAGACGTAAATGGTAATCTTACGAACAAGCTCTATGAAAAACGTGATGACTTTAACTTTTCAATCATCAACTTCCTTTACTTATGCAGCGATATACCTTCATAACCTGCATACGGAGTTTATATCCCTTGGTTGATTCGATGGGCAAGAACATGTTCTACGTAAACTATGTTAATTCTAAAACGAGATAAATTATTGACAAACAAGTTGATAAACAAGAAAATCAATGAGAGATCTTTAATAGACCAACGCATGTCTGCCACAAGGCCTCGGTTTCTTTATGGAAAGCCATAGGGGACCCCCATGTCATGTTCTATATATTTCATTGAAAAACGATCTTGACCTGACCCCCATGTCATGTTCTATATATTTCATTGAAAAACGATCTTGACCTGGTCATGTTATCAATCCTGACCATGTCAAGATTTAAACATGACCAAGTCAGGATTTTTACCATCTTGACCAGGTCAGGATTATGGAAAGCCATAGGGGACCCCCATGTCATGTTCTATATATTTCATTGAAAAACAATCTTGACCTGGTCATGTTATCAATCCTGACCATGTCAAGATTTAAACATGACCAAGTCAGGATTTTTACCATCTTGACCAGGTCAGGACTGATAACATGACCAGGTCAAGATTGATAACATGACCATCCTATCCTGACCAAGTCACGATTCAATGTTGACCAAGTCAAGATTGGTAACGTGGCCATCTTATCCTGACCAAGTCAGGATTGACAACATGGCCATCCTATCATGGCCAGGTCATGATTCAATCTTGACCAAGTCAGGATTGATAACATGGCTTAGTCAGGATTGATAACATGACCAAGTCAAGATTGACAACATTGCCATGCTATCTTGGCCAGGTCAGGATTGATAACATGGCGCAGACCAGATTGATAACATGGCCAAGTCAAGATTGATAACATGGCCAAGTCAAGATTGAAAAATGTCCAAGTCAAGATTTATAACATGACCATCCAATCTTGGCGGGGTCATGATTCAATGTTGACCGAGTCAGGATTGACAACATGACCATCTATCTTGGTCGGTCATGATTGCATTGCGCCAGGATATATTACTTCCAAACGCAGTCAAGATTTCTTCCCAAGATTTTATAGGACCAAATGTCAAGCCAAGATAGCATTGCGCCTAGATACATGTGTTTTTCAAACGAAGTCAAGATTTATGGTCATGATTGCATTGCGACAATGTAGACTAATTTCCCAAGATTGCAAATGCTAGCTTGCAAGCGCTTCTCTAACAACGAAAACCCGCTAAAAAAGTGTATTGGATTTGCTCCTCCCAGCTGACGGTGACAAAATAACGTAAGTACAGGTGAAATTTTCCTCGTAAATCTTTATGAATATCTTAGTTTGTTGTTCTAATTATGTAGTTTATGCAATGTTTCTTTTAAATAAGTGACATGAACAGCATTTCAAATAATGCAAAACATTCTGCAGTTTAAATCGAGGAAATTCGAATTTTGTGTATCGACAAATTAGTAATTATAGAACTTTTGAACATAAACAAATAATGCTTTAATATTGTCCTGCTAAGAATCTATATACAATATACTTTCATTATATTTTTAACAATTGATCAAGTGCAAAATGCCAAATTATAGAACTTTTTTCTGTAAAAACGGAGGGGGTGGGCTTTAATATTGTCCTGCTAATCTATATATACAATTCAAATTTTTAACAATTGATCCATGGCACATACAATTTTAAGATTGGTTATAGATGTTGCAGGTAGGTATTCTTTCAACAACAAAACTGTTGGCGTATATACAACCTTTTACAATTTTAAGATTGGTTATAGATTTACATGTAATTCTTTTTTATGTTTTGTAATTAATACATGACTAATTCTTTTTTATTGTTTGCAGATAATTTACATGACTTATTCATCTATTTTATTAATGTAACTATTTATAGTATCTCAGATCGACACAGTCATGCTAACTGGAGAGAGCTTTATGCGGACTCTGGAGCATGGCTTGAGACGATGACTGGAGTCTATGGCTAGTGGAACCATTTTGCAGTAATTTAGAATGTGCAGGAGAAAGTGGTACACTTCATTTCAATCGCATCTTTCGACAAGCGAAAATCCATGGTCTACCTGGAATAAGTTTATTTGGCGCCAAGACAACCTTTTTCCAAGGTCAAAGATCAAAGACCAGAACTGATGTCAGTTGGAAAGACACCACATTGGGTATTGGATTTGTATTTTTATATACTCTTTTTTATAAGCTTAAGTGATTTTTTTCATTATGTAACACACTCGGTGATGTTAATACATTCAAGGTGTTTTTCCGAGCTTGACAAAGGCTCGAGAAGATCATGATGCAATTGACTATTCATTTATAAACATTTCATATCTACAACTTGTCTATCTACATTCAAAACAAACAATCATTTATAGTGGAAATACAAATATATTTTGTTTCCAATATCAAGGTCAAAGATCAAAGGCCAGAATTGGTGTCAGCTGGAAAGATACCACATTGTGTATTGGATTTGCAAGATATTTAATCAATGCACCAGTTTCAAGTTCAAAGGTTAGTAACAAATTGACAATATTAGTTATGTAGACATTAAGAGGGGTAATACGGAAATATGTGAGGTCCTTGAAAAAATCCATATTGGGCGAGGCGTAAGCCGAGCCCAGTATGCATTTTTTCAAGAACCCCACATATTTCTGTATTACCCCTCTTAGTGTCTACATAACGAATTTATCCTGCCGATGGTTCACTAAAAGATTAAATATTGGTAGTATTAATAAACCGCTTTCACTGAACGTCCAAGCAAGACGTTCTACATCCATTGTACGTTGTCAACAGAGGCATTGTGATGTCAGTTATGAAGCTCCATGCGGGTCACGTGAAAGCAGTATATTGTTGATGTGTGGTTGGTAAATTTTTAATGTATGGTGGGTAGGTCAAGTGGAGGGGGCACATTAGCAATGTGAGGTGGGTAGACAGCATAACATCGTTTCATGCAGTATTGCTCTCGGCCAATGTAATTTCACGATTTTTATCAGAGGCAGAATAATTTGCATTGTTAGGTCACCTGAGTAAACTCAGGTAATATATTGCTATTCTTTTTTGTCCGTCGTCGTGCGCTCTGCGTTAACATTTTCAGCTTCTTCTTCTCTGCAACCACTCCAATTTCAACGACATTTGGCACAAAGCATCTATGGGTAAAGGGGAACAAAAATTCTGAATTTCATGATCCCTGCCCCCTGGGGCCTGAAGGATGGAAACAAAGCCACTAAAATTCATGCAATCTTTAAAAATCTTCTTCTTTACTTCTAGACATTAAGCAGTAAAACTCTTGGCATGATTGTAACATGAGCATTGAGTCTGTATACCAAAATTGTAAAATTCATGGCCCCAAGGTCAGGGATTCTAATTCTGGGACTAAATAGATTATATAGTAAAAATGTTTATTTCTTTAAAAAATCTTTAAATAACTAACCAAGTACATAGTTATGGTGAATAAGGATGCCTCTTCCAAAATTGCGAATTTCATTGCCCCTGGGTCAGGGGTTCTGGTGTTAGGGCAGGGCTCTATTGATTATATAGTGAAATTGCAATTGAAAATCTTCCCTGCACTTGGGCACATGTATTGAATAAACTAACCAAACACAAAGTTATAATGAGCAAGGACGTGTCTCCCAAAAATGTGAATTTCATGGCTCCAGGGCAAGGGTTCTGGTGTTAAGGTGTGGCTCTATTGATTATATATGAGAATACACTAATTCTTTAAACAATTTTCCTTTGCTCCTGGGTATTAAACCAATAATGTTGTTATGATGAGGAAGGATGCCTCATCATGGCCTCTGGGTCAGGCTCTCTGGTGAAGGGTGGGGGAGGGGCTCTAATGATTATATACATAAATGCATGAATTCTTTGAAAATCTATTCCTTTGCTCCTTGGTATTATGCAAATGATCTAAGTACATATTTTAGATGAAGAATGATGCTTCTTCCAAAATGATTTATGTAAGAATCCTTGGGGTGTCGGGGATAATGGAAGAGGGGAGGGGTACATATTCTAAATAAATCAGTGCGGCTGTGCTTTGAAATCTGCTCTTTGGTATTAATCAACCATTTATGATGAGTGAAGATATGTCTTTTTAAAAATTTTAAAACATGTGGCCCCAGGGTCAGTGGTTCCTGTGGGGTGGGATGCACAACTGATTTTAAAGTGGAGATGCATTTTTTTTGTTACTCTGATATACCTCTCGATATTAAGTAACCAAAGTAAGCATGCTAAGTGTAGAGTTATGATAAGCAATGGTGCCTCTTTTAAAATTGTTAATTTCATGGCCTCTGGTTTAAAACACGAACCAAATTCAATTGTTGGAAAGTTGTTGCATGATTCTCAGGTGACCCATAAGGTCCATGGGTCAGGGTCTCATGTTATTTTTCAATAATTACATAATGTGTACATATTCCATAAAAGGCTATCAAGAGCTTTCATTTGCTAACTACACTAAAAGATAATTTTTATATTTTACAGGATTGATGTGGAAGCCTTGATGTTTAGCTATGCCAGTGGTTTCATTTCCTGTGGATATTATGTGGACATTGATGGCCATTGGGTGCTTGATGCAATGCAATAATGACATTTTGTAGACTGTAGAATTCACTTGCATATTAAAACAAGAGATTGCCTTGGAAGAAAAATCTGAGTTTAGCTAGTTTTAATTTTTCTAAATCAATATATTTTTGTCAAAAATTTTATGCTGATGCATAATGCATAAGTATTTTTTATTTTGACCTTGTTTGAACTAACTTTTCTCAAATTTGTTATAGTGTAGATTCAAAGAAACTCTTTTAGAATTGTCTTTTTTTCCTATTTAAGCTAAAGCAAGCATACATTATCAACTGTGTCCATTTTTTACCTTGATCTTTCAAGTGTCCTTTGAATATAAGTGTATTATCTACTGTATATTAAACTGTTTATTGAATCTTTTCAAAATATTTTTGTCATCTTCATATACTAGTCAAATACAAATTTTTCTTATTGCATTAATAGTTAAATTTCATATGCTGTGCCCGTCCTTAGGAAGAGACATGTACAGCATTAACCTTTTAGATCCCGTGTCGCAGCTAGGATGCTGGCACTGCTGAATTTGATGACTCCTTGCTCAATGGCCTTGAATGTGCCCAGTATAGTACAACGCCCTCTTGATGCAGCAACTTTGTATCTCCTGATAAGCAAATTCTAGAATATACAACAAGCTTCATACACTCAATTTCATATGATTGTTAAAAGGGATATAAAACTGGAGTTGAATTTTTAATCAACAAATATTTTGTGCAATTGAGTTTGTTTTGCTTTCGCACATTATAAACCTTCTCATTAGTTTGTTCTAAATTACCTGTGACAAAACCTGCTAATTGATCAAATGCTTCATATTGTGTTATTTGATTTTCACTCTGGAGAACTTATAGTCAAATACAAATGATATAAGGAATATTTATCATCTGTGACAGCTGACCTCTGATTAAACATACCTTTCAAAGGGACAGGAGATAGGGCTTTCATATTTAACATTGGCACTACTTGTGACCAACAATTTACAAAATTTCTCCAGCATATACTTTAAAATTGGAATGATATGAGGAAAAATTTCTGACCAAATACACTTCATATGATTTTAGAGAGCACTGACAAAACTAATTTTCAAATTTTTCATTTCAATTGGTGATAACTTTTCACAAAATATGAAGGGCATTTTTCAAATTTCAAATCATGTGGCTAATTTTCTATCTTATGAGATGACTTACTTTTGATCTGTTTTCACAGATTTCTGATCTGACTTTCTAAATGAGGAGAGGGGGGTACTTTAATAATTGGTAAGTAGTATATACAAATCATGACAGACACCTCCTGCTATTTTTGCATGTTGTGCCAAATTTCACAATATCTTTCCTTGATCATAGATAAAAGGGCTTTCAGATTTCCAAAAGTTTTCTACAGCACAAATGGCCACAGACCTTAAAAAGAGCTAAAAATTCAAAAAAAATGAAGATAGAATGAATATACAGGGCATTCATATTTTTTAATAACTTACATTATTGTTATTCCAATTTTCTTCCTATAAAAATGTTTTTGATATATATAATACACAGTGTATAAACATTTTGAAAATGCATATGTCCATGGTTTTGCCACACCTCACATGATGTGCATCTTTTTTTGACAATATATATACTTTATTGATTATGGCTTTTTATTCCTAAAGCTTATGCAAAAAATGACCACAGACATCATTTATGAGTAATAAAATGTGTCCTAATACATAGTAAAATATTTCACGTTATAACTTTAAGTTGTTGCCAAGAAAACTATGTAATTTTTGATATAAACATTTTAACATATATATTTAACAAAAGGTATATGAAAATGCTCATTGAATTTATATAGAAAAATATATATAGATGGGGTACATGCTATTATCTTTTCATTCATATAATTTTTCCCACTTTATTACAAAAAAAGTTTTAAAATATTTGCACTACCCTAAGAATGCTTGAATAATCAATCCACTAAAAACTGACTCATTTTTTTTTAGCCTCATCATCCTCTGAATGCAATATTTCAATGAAAATCTTTGTGGTTTTTTTTTTTCAGAAAGACTTGAAATACTGGCCCCTTTGATCTTAAAAAGAGAGAAGATCTCCATGCTTCCCATGCAAAAGTTTGATCCCCTTCTATGGACATGCTTCACCTGGTTACCGTGATACATGTATGAATAATTCAGAATTTACTCATACCTTATACCATGTAAGCAAAATCTTAATCGAGTATTTAGTTGTGAAATTATCATCAGGGATGCTGAGATCACTTAAGTTGAATATCGCTAAAATTAATAGCGTTTTATATCAAACAGTGGTTATGAATACTGAAACAGACTAACAATGGATATCAATCAGAACAAGAGGCCCAAAGCCACACCACTCAACTGAGTACTTTGGCCATGCTGTTCTTTATCAGATTTCCACAACAGAGTATACCTATTGTGGCCCTGCCCTTTTCCCAGGGTTCATGATTTCACAAGAGTTCTTTCACATAAGTTTCAGCTTTTCCGGCTTAGTGGTTCTTGAAGAAGATTTTTTAATGACCCATCCCTATTTTTGTCTTTTTTTGCCCATTCTCCCTTATAAGGGGGCTTGGTCCTTTAAAAATTTTAACTTCATTTTACACAAGGATGTTTTGTATTTTTGTTTAAAATTAGCCCAGTGGTTCTTTTGAGAAGAAGTTGAAAATGTGAAAAGTTTACATACAGAAGAATGAAGAGACAAACGAACAACAGGTGATCAGAAAAGCTCACTTCATGCCTGGAGACCAGTACAGATTTAAGTCAAAATTTCAATTTTAAATAACATTTTATTTATAACATATACATTATCAAAAATGTGCAGATTTGTATAAATATTCCAATTTATACATAGAGTCTATAGTAATAATTTTGCTTTGTTATCATTTTTTTTTTCAAAATCCAGAAGTCTCTAATGAGACTGTAGCTCTACTGGTCTGTATGTGTATAAAAGGAAAAGTGGCACTTGGATTTGACTTTTCAATAGGCAGAAATAAATAGATTTATGTATCTTTGTGTAGTGTAATTGTGCATGTTGTGTGCCAAATTATATTGAAATCAGACTGAAATTGAAAGAGTTCGTTTTAAAGGAATTTCAAAGAAATTTTGACTTTTAGTAACCATGGCAATACTGTTCATCGAAATCAAAAATTGATGCACTAAATTATGTATCATAGTGTTGTCTACTTAAGTGCTAAGTTATACTGAAATCAGACCAAAATTGTAGGAAAAGTAGCATTTTAAAGAAAATTTCAAAGAAATTTTTATTTTTAGTAACCATGGCAACACCATTCATTGAAATAAAAAGAAAATATGCACTTAATTATGTATCTTGTTATCAAATGTTTAAAATCTTTCTTTTCTGAAAATATTAGAATTTCTAAAAGGTTTTTCCATGCTGTCATATTTCATACTTATAAGAACAATTTTTACAAACCTCTAAACTT